GCAGGCCTAATTACAGTACAATCTGAAGCTACTGTCGATCTCCAGGGAGGCTCTCCCCCCCACACAATGGGCACAATATCTCTGTCTGTTCACAGGAATTCCCCAGTCCATGGCAAAAGTGTGGCTAACAGGGTGAGATGCACCCTTAAAAATTAAAGGTTTTTCTTTTAAAGATAGATTGCTTCTCGACTTCCCCAAGCTGGGAGCAGAACCCACCTAACTCCTCACCCCTCAAACCCAAGCCCCTACCCCCCAACTCCCCCACCCCTCCTTCTGCTCCTCAGCCCAGATGAATGGACAGAAAGGTTCTGTCTCTGTCAGAAAGCCTGCAGACTAGTGCATCCCTCACAAAGGAACTTGCAGCACAGGCCTTGAGGTCAAGATCGTCCTTCCCAGGAAGGATAAACAGGATGGCCATGCCCTTGTCCATTCAGTTCCTCCCCTCTCCCCTCACAGTAGAAGTCCCTGTGTGCTCAGCTAGGGGAGACAGAGGTCTGAGGGAGAGGCCTAATTCTCTCCTTCAGAGCCAGCTTTGAATAAACCTTTTCCTTTCCCCAAACATTGTCTCAGGGCCCTGACAGGCAGTGTGGACCTGAACGCAGGTGACGGTAGGAAGGTTCCGTGCCAGCAGAGGCTTCCACCTCCCTTATTTCCTCCCTCCTCTCCTGTGTGGGGACGACTCCGCTCTCTGACAAAAGCCTGGCACACAGGTCTAGTCTCTTTTCCAGTAAAGGCCCAGCTCATCCTGGAATCTCTCTGGGTCTGCAGGACTGGGAGAGGGGGAGGGGGTACCGTGGCCATGGTGCTCAGAATGCTTGCCCAAGCTCCTGTTCCTCAGGGCTCATCCCAGGGCCCTGAGGCCAGATGGGTGTGAGGAGTGAGAGCTGTTGAGTGGGGCCTGGCAAAGGCCATCGGGGTCCCCTATCTGTGTGAGATAGATGGATGCAGAGGTGCCCGGTGCTGGCTGCCACTCCTCCCCTGTCAGGGTTCAACTTTCACAACACACTCTTTGTTTTCGAATCTCAAGGTCCTTGGCTGACCTGTGCCCAGGCAGGCAGATGGCTTCTAGAATGCACACTTGAGGTCAAGGCCCTTGAATCTCAGGCCTGGGAGACCTGCGGGGGCAGCAAGTCCCCTCCCTTTGTGCTACCTCCCTCATCCTTCCCAGGAACAGGGAAGGACCCAGAAGCAGCCAGTGGGGGCAGGGCAGCCAGGCCATCCTGCTGTGGGACTCAACAGAGTGTCTCGGCCTCTCCATGCTGGAGAGGACCTCTGAGAAGTTCGAGCTGCCATTCTCCCTCCTGATGCTCCGGGGGCGGGGGCGCCTGGAGTGGAGGATGGGCCACCTGCCTTCTGTGGGGCAGGAGAGGAAACCTTGGGCCCTGCCCTCCAGCCCTCCCAGCCCCACACTCTGAGCCCCGCTGGGAAGGGAAGGACGGGAAGTCCCTCCAGGCTCCACAGCTGGCGCCTGGTGGGGTCCGCCCTCCGCTCTCACTGGGCTCCGCCTCCTCCCCTTCCCCACCAGACCGGGCCTCAGTGGTTTCTCTTTCACTTTGCCATCCCTGAGGTCTCGCACCTAGGGGTCTACTTCCCTCCCTGGTCCCCAGCTGCCCTCGCCAAGGACAGAGCGAGGAGTAGATAGTCTGAGCATCAGGCAGCTGAGTCACCCTGACCCGCCCACTCAGGGCTGAGGCCGGAGAAGGGGGTCAGGAGCCTCCAGAGCAGCACCCTGTCTGTGAGCAGGAAATGGAACGCTCAGGCTGGAGTGGAAGAGATTCGCTGGAACAGCTCTGCCCAGAGGGCTGCAGATGGACCACGCACTACAGGTACCAGCGGCCACTCAGCCCCACGCAGCCCCTCTTTGCGCGCCCTTCCGGGAGGCCACCACGGTGCCTCTGCCCTCACCCTCCTCCTCCAGACCCGGCCTTGGGGTCTTTCCCTCCCGGGCTCCACCACAGCTCCCGCTCCTTGCAGGGACTTTGCGCTCTGGGGTCGCAGATGCCTCCTGCTGCTGCGGAACTAGCCGCCCTGCTGCCCTCCACCCAGCCCAGGCTTCCTCCCTCCCTGCCCCATCTGAAAGTCATCAGGCGGGGCTGTCCCCTCCCTGGGCACGTTCCTGGGCTCTGTTGACAATCAGGATTTAACAGAGAGGCGGACGAACCCTTGGCACCGTGGGTCACACTTGACAGAGTTCTCTGCGATCTCCGTTCCCCGCTGTCTGAAAGGCGCGTTGCGGGAGGGCAGCTGTGAAGCCTCTCTGAGGCAGTGATACAGGAGATGAAGTCTGAAAATATTACATCTCCCAACCTGTTAGATGTCTGATACGCTGAGCTCGTGTTCTCTAAAAATCAAAAACTGAATTCTAGGAACAATGGAGGTTAAGAGTAGGAAAATATTTATTGAGAGGATAGCTCCTGAGAGGCAAGAGGGGACCTGAATGGGTAGCCGGGACCCCATTTACAGGAAAGTTCTACAGAGCAAAACCCACCTGGGTACAAGGGTTATAGCTGTGATCAACCAATAGGGTTACAAGTACAGTTGCTTAGGTAATAGTGATCCAATCGGGAAACAAGACATGTAAAAATTGCATTTGGAAAGAACAAAGATTTCTTCTAGGAAATGATGGGTCCAGAGGTCTCTGGTCACCCACTGGGATGGCTGATGTCTGTCTAGGTTCAATTAGGCCCAGTGTTTGTCCTTTTAGGAAGCATGCAGGCCTGGTCATCTCATCCTTATCTTGAGGCCTGGTCTCCAACAGATGTGTCTCTGGCCATGGTTGTGATGTTTTACCTTTGTCCTCACTCTCTCGAGGCCCTAACCCCATCTGACTGTCTGTAATATTTCTATCTAACTTAGCTGTCTAGAATAGCAGGACAGTGGCTCTCCAGGTCATCTCCACTGTCATCAGGACAGTGACTGGCAAAGGTCCCCACACAGCAGAGCCTTGGCCATCATACTTCACCTCAAGAGATTGTGCCACAGGGCCGGAGATTCAGCTCAGTGGTTCCACCGCCTGCTGCACAAGTGCAAGGACCCAAGTTCAATCCCCGGCACCAGTAAAAAAAAAAGAGAGAGAGAGATTGTGCCACGAAAATGACATTTGAGGGGGAAAAAATTAGAATACTTAGGAGAAATGCTCATATTTTCAAATTAAGGAAGACTTCCATCGCGAATGCTCGATCTTCAGGTGACGTGGCAGGCCAGCTAGATATGGCCGGGCCTGCTGTCAGGACCTACCTCTATAAGCAGCCCATTGAGTGACTGGGCAGGTGACCCCCAGTGTGTGTGGATGCTGCTCCTCATCTAGTAGCTGGCGGGCTCCCCAGGCTGCCATGTGTTCAGACACGCAGTGCTCACCACAGTGGCTGCTGAGTGTGAACTGAGACGCTACCCTGACTTTTCAACAGATGTAGCCTGCAGAGGTGGAGAGTCAGGGATGAATGGGAGTGGAAGGTTAGAAGATATTTGAGAGTGGAAGGGTTTTGTGTCTTTGACATTTTCTCCTGGCTTGGGGATGAATGGGCAGGAACACAGGGAGGTGGGGTGTCCCATTGGAAGCAGCAGAGCTGGGGCCTCAGGTGGGAAGGGCGCCCTCTGGCCCATGCCCTCCTCTGCCCTCCTGTCTTCCAACCTGGAAAGGCTGCAGGATTCTCAAGGCTTGGGGGCCTGGGGGTGGTGTGGTCCCTAGGGCTCTGGGAACCCGTGTTTCGTGGACAGCGGCTTGGAATGAGTGCCGACCAGCTCTGCAGTTTCTGTTTTCTCTCCTGTGTCCACAGAAAACCGATAGAACGGATATATAAAAAAGCATTCAGGTTCTACTTTCGAAACCTGCGCTGTGCCTATGGTCGGAATAAGACCTTCCTGTGCTATGAAGTAAAAAGAGAACGGGACAACAAAGTCCTTCACAAGGGGGTCGTTCTAAACCAGGTAACCTCCAGTCTCCTCTCTAGGACAGGTGGAAACTAGGCCTGGTGAGGATGCAGAACAAAGGATCAGTGAAAGCCACATGGCCGAGTCCTGGGCCCTGCTGGTCCTGCCTGACTGTCCTGCACTCTGACAATGCCACCCTGTGACTTCTCACAGCAGGCCTCCTTCAGAGGTGTTCTGCTCTAGCAGTGCTTGTGCCTGGAGTCTGACACTTGGCCCCACACCTAGCAGTCCCGCGGTCAGGGCGTCTCCATGGTCAGGCACCCCGAGCACGCAGGGCCTTATCTGTCCTGTGCCTGCTCGGCTGGTTGGTTCTGGCCCTGCCACCCCTGAGCCTTCACACGAAGGAGCTGCTGTCACAGAGCACAGAGCCGGCCTGGCCCTGGCCCTGCTGCAGCAGCCTCTCTGGGGCTCCCAGGTGACTGCAGTCCCAGTGCCACCCCACTGGCCACCTGCAAATGACCAGCCACACCCCTTCCCCTCTATCAGCCAGACCTCAGCTTTCCCGGTGCTTTGGGCTGGGCCTTCTGTGTGTGTGTGGAGGCTCCCTCTGCAGCAGAGCTATCCCACAGAGCAAAGTCCTGATCCATTTTCCTAGTGCCCAGAGTTTAAAAAGTTGCTAGGCATGAAAGGAATGAATGTGAATGCCTTTCTGAGTCCAATATACCTGCCTTATTATTTCCCCGTCTGTTCCATAGGGAGTGCTCCACGGGGTAGGTGGGAGCCCTGTATCTCACGCAGGCTGCTGCCTCCAGTCAGACAAGCCCTATTTCACCTGTAGCCATGGCCCCCGATGGGACAGCAGAGCTGTGCCCCTTCCCAGGCGATGGCAGGAGAATGAGATGTCAGAAACAGGGCTCAGTGTGCTTGCTTCCCGGGAGGGGCTGAATGGATGCGGGAGTCCATGTGTGTGGGGAGGGAGGGAGACATGGGTGAGTGCAGGAATGAGATGCCTGGGCCCCCTGGCCTGTGACGTGTCCCCTCCTTGTGTGGTGTCCTCTCCCTGTGCCATGTACCCTCCCGGTGCTGCCTGTCTCTCCAGCCAGGGACCTTGCCCTTCTCCCCTCTCCCAGGTCAGCCCCTGTGCACTACATGCAGAACTCAGCTTCATCTCTTGCTTCCATGCCACTGAGTTGTGCCTTGATGAGACCTACAAGGTCACCTGGTATATTTCCTGGAGCCCCTGTGTGGAATGTGCGGAGGAGATTGTGAAATTCCTGGCCAATCACCGCAATGTGTTCCTGACCGTCTTCATTGCCCGCCTCTACTACTACTGGGAACACACATTTAAGGAGGGGCTTCAAGCACTGGACAAGGGAGGGGTCCAGATGCACATGATGTGCCTCCAAGGTGAGAGGGGGGGCCGTGTGGGCTGTTCTGGGGACCCGGATGAGGGCCAATCAGGTGGAGGGTTGGGGCACAGGGGAGGATGAGCCCTTGGGCCTGCTTGGAAGGCTCAGGGGACAAGCCCTGTGTCCTCAGATGTGCTCCTCCTCTTTCATCTCAGACTTTAAAGACTGTTGGAGTCTCTTTGTGTGCAGTGAAACATTCAGGCCTTGGAAGAGACTTCGTAAATATTATCTGTTCCAGAACAAAACCCTGAAGCAGATTCTCAGGTGAGAGGTCACCTTCATTTCCTCCCCTCTGCCCTCTCCCTTCTGCCTGTCCTGCTCAGGCCTTCCCAGCTGAGGTCACATGGACCCTTTCCTGCCCAGCCCCGCTCGCTCTCCTGCCACTGTCCCCACCACCTCCCTTTGCCTCCTCGGTCCTCTCAGAGCATCCTTTCTCCTGCCCCAGCCCCGAAGGCCCCCAGATCTGTGTCCTCCCACCATACCACCACCATAGTAACTAAAGGAGTGTATGAAAGTTGGAATATTATCTGTAGTCATGACAGACCACTGTAGGGACAGAGGACAAACTTCTGGGTCCTTCATCTGTTACCATTAAATGCGTGATTTGCCTTTACTTCTGAGGCAGCCAGAGACTTCAAAGTGATTGTTTGCTGAAAATTGTGACTCTTCACTTGGGCCTAGAAATTCCCAGTAGGTAACTAAAA